TTGGGCGTATTACCTAATAGTAATTTTACCAAAACCCATAATCATGGGTAGAGTGGACCGCTGCCAGTGTCTCTCTTTCCCAAACAAAAGGAAATGATATTAATTTGATTGACCGTTCTCAACTGCAAAATGATACCGAGAATGAAATCGGTCGCTCGCTTTTCCCATTCATTCACGGCTTACGAATTGTAATAATTTTCGATTGATTACATGTCAATCAGATGCTGTAAAAATCTCTTTGGGTTGCGTTCAAAAATCAAGTTTTAAAAACGGTTAACTTGATGACGTCATCAAGGGGTGTTTATGACGTCAAATAAATTTTTCATACAATCTTATTATATATAAAGCGAGACGATATATATATATATATATCTGTGCCATTTTACTGACACCACGGCATCAACTTTAACGCGACTTTCCGCAAAAACCGTAAAAGATATACAACTGAAACTTTTTTGACTGGGTCAAATGCTTTTATGCTTTTCAAATCAGCATGAAAAAATAAAAAATTGGCCAAGGAATAAGAGTTTTAGAGGCCAAAATTTGGACCCCCAAGTGGTGTCAAAAACGCGAATTAAATAGGTAATAATTATTTTAGTTTCTTGAGTCTTGACACCATTTTAGGGTTATACGGGTTCCTGCTAGTGTAAACTAAAGTGTAAACAATTATTTGCAAGACCTGTGGTGTATACATACAGATATACATATATATTCAGGGATAGACGCTTTGCCAGTCAATTGTAGCCTGTATTTAAGTGTCCATAGATTCAAAAGTATAAAAGATACAGCCATTTCCGACCGATATATCTGTATGTATATGTCCCGACAATCTGTCGTAAAACAGGGGTTCTAGAAAACCCATTTCCCGATGCTCCTGAAACCTGAAACTTTTTTTGCAGTCAATTTGGTCAACGTCTAGACGCCCTGAAAAATTTCAGATCTCTAACTCAATTTTAACATGGTTTTTAGGGCGCCTGAATATGGCGATTTTGGGTTTTTTACCGAATTTCGTATAACAGTGCTGGCGAGTATTTTATGCAAATTTCTTAAAAATCTAAACATAACTATTTTTTATTCCTGTCATCTTTGACATCAAATTAGAATGTTTTGAACTAAAAATAAATCTGCTGAACGACTTCCGATGAGTCTTAATGCCTGGAAAACTCCTGCCGGAGGCGGCGGCCTTCGGCCGCCGCCTCCGGCCGGAGTGCACGCTTCGCGTGCACAAAAGAGGCTTGTAACGTGTACCAAAGGGGGTATAATAGTAGAGGGGGTATAATAGTAAAGGGGGTATAATAGTAAAGGGGGTATAATAGTAAATGGGGAACATAGTATACCCACAATAAATGCAACGGTCGTGCTTGCCAGGACTGTGATATTATACATTACATGCATTTGATTCACGATGTCAATCCTTCGCATCTCGCCGATCTGCATACGGTTGCGAGAAGCATTATTGGATGCGCGCGCGCGACCCAGTAGTGCATCGCGCTACAATACATGCATCATATACATTAAAACACAGTCGCGCCGCGCATTTATAGATCACAGGCTATCTATACATCACATCTCCGCAAGCAATCCTCGCGCGCGCCCAACTTTTTCGTTGCATGGTAACGAACGGAAGGAAGGATACACGACATATTTAAACCCACCTCTCTCGTTCTCCAAAATCCACGTTTTTCTGCAAAAACCTCCATTCGTAACCTTTCACTATTGCCTTTTTTTAATAGGGTGAAAAGGAAAAAATTAAAGTTCTATAACAAACTTTGATTTCTCAGCAAGATATCTGTCAACTGCAGGTTGCAGTTTGCACCTATAGAATTACGCCAGATATTCCCCTCTGTACATGCAGTGGGGTGACATATGTTTTCGTCACTTCTGTATGCGCGCATTTTAGCGCGCGAGTTTGCGTGCACGTCACGTGATATTGTTAGCAGTGAGTGTAATCACGAGTCTAGAGAATTCGTCTAGTACAAGGCCCAGACCCTTTGGCGTATCTGTAGTAAATTTTTTGGCGATGTAACATTTCTGACACTACTTAAAACTGAGGAATAGGGAAGTGTTCACAATATCCAACTTAGCATGGTAAACTTATGATATCTCTGGCTGAAGATTAACAACTCTGACGGTATTTATTTTAATCAACTGAGAAACGATTGTTCTTGTTACCTTATTAATTTTATCGAAATCGAACAATGCAGTACAAAGATATTCCGTTTTAAACTTCATGGTAATGTTGAAATAGAGACAAATTCGTCGCTTGCTATTAAAACATGTGCTCCTTCATAAATATTATCATTATCGTGATCAAACCCCTTATTTATGGGCCTGTCAGTCTCTTCTGAAGCACGAATGAACTTAATTTCTACCGTCCGAGAAAAGTTTAGAATTTTCTCTAAACACCCATTTTTGAATTTTGTAAATCGGTGGTCCGGAAGCAGAGTTATGGTTCAATGAAAGTTGTTAGTTTAACACTGTTTGTATTGTCATTATCAGAAGTGACGAAAACATATGTCCCGCAATATCAGGGTCGGAAGTTCCAATGTAAAGCTTGTCTCAAATTCCTTCAGTAATCACTAATTAGTAGCATAGCTGGAGGTGGTTTGTAGCCCCAAAGCATAGCTATAATAGTCTATATTGTGTTTCATTAATTTTTCATATTCTAAGAAACCTTATAGACGAATAGCTTTGTCTCTGTCGGTCTCTTAGAGAGAATTGGCGATGAATTCGTTTAGTTTTGTGGTAGCTCTATCTCTTAAGGATGTAAAGTTAAACTTGTGGAAAAAAACATCGAATACTTCTTATGTCGTTTATAAATAAAAGGTCTCGCTCAAGGGCGCGAGACTAAAGGTGCCTTACGAAACACGACTATATATGGGGACGTGAAAAAAGGCCCGGCAAAATTTCAAATCTATAATTTAATTTTAACATGTTTTAGGCACCTGAATATGGCGATTTTTGCGTTTTTTACAGAATTTCGTCTAACATTAAATGTATAACATTAACAATTAACACTAACAGTGCTGGCGTGTATTTTAATATTGAATATGAATATTTTTTATTCCTGTCATCTTTGCCATTGCATTAGAAATAGAATATTTTAAACTAAAAATAAACCTGCTGAACGACTTTTTGTGAGTCTAGATATGAAGTAAGAAATATAATGAGTAATTAGGGGGGGGGGGGGGGGGGCATTACGCGGTCTATTATAACCGTACAATAATTAAATCAATTAATGTGACGGTCTCGGACCTTCTGTATGGAACTAAACAGTAAAGACTTGTGAGCTGCGATATTTCCTTTCTTTATAACTGTTTTAAGGTACAAACCAGTGGCCACATGTTTACAATCTTTAACCGATCAAGTCTCAACTCTCTGATATTGTTACTTTTTCAGCTGGTGGCGTGTGAGTCGGGCGGGTGTATGCGGGTGTTGGAGCCTGTCTCTTGTGGTAGAGCTACTAATTAGAAGACAATATGTATTACACTCCGGACATGATCAAGGTGGGTGAGACAATCGAGTGAGGTGACATTATTCACGTGACCACGAGACAAAAGCAGGCGCTTTCCCTGATATTTAGTCAGGGTTGGGCTATTTGGGATGATTGCTCAACCATGTTTTGTTGCCACATCTCTTGACAAATACCGTCAGAGCCTTACATTCGTCGTATTTTCATATTGTAGTATTTACCTGACAGATTTCTTGTTTCTTTGCTTGTTCTGAGTCCCCAATTTCTCCTTCTGTACCATGTTTGGGATTCATCTTTCGTTATAATGAGGGAATAATGATGTTTATATGATTTTCTGTTCACAATGCACTTGCAGCGTCGTCTGGGTCCGAAAGTTAAGCCACGAGAAATTTGGAATTTGTGTTAGTTTCTTAATGCTACTCTAGCTCTGTGGTTTCTAATAGAAACTTTAAACACATAGTATCATTGTTATTGAGAAAATTTCACTGTTCGAGGTTATGACAAGAAGAACTTCCTTTTTGTGCGAGAAATTGTCCACCAAATATAAAAGCATCAAAGAAATTTACTGAATGTTCCATTGCAAAGGTACTCAGCAGGCTATATTGACGTACAATTTGTTACTCAAATGGTAGTTTTCCAAGAGTTATGACATCTAGAAAGTCCCCTAGAAAGCTTGCAAATATATGAATACACTTTTATGTTAAGCTATTTTTGTTGCTTTTTTACTAGAACTTAGTATTAGTAATAGTATGTGTGCAAAAATACAATCACCAGACTGGAAATTTCCAAGCGGTGTAATAACGATAACATACTGGGGGTAATAAGACTTTGAGAGGAATTTATCTGCAAATTCGTGGCGATTAATGATAAGATATTTAAATATGGCAGAACATCATCCATCAGCCATCATGCTATTGCCCATATTATGCCCGCGTTAGATACTAAAGACGTATCAAAAGTGTAGGGCCGGGGTGCTTTTAATACAAATGTAGTTCACACTACTGTTCTGCAATTTTATAGACATTACTTTGTTTTGAAGAAGCATAGCCAAATGAAACATTTTTGTGCACAATGAACAGTATCAATGAAGTCTATAAACGATTCTTCATTTGAAGATAATTTTTATGTGAAATTTTTTTGCACCTGGTGACATCAAATACAGTGTAAATCTGGTGTTGAGTTTATTTTGACATTAAGATGTTAATAAATATCGATTTTAACTCTTATTTTGACGATACCTTATCAGTCTTAATGCGTCAGGTTATTTAAAGATATCACATAATATTGTTTGTTTACCAGTTTCCCAGGGAACTATCATTAACCTCTTTAAAAACACTCTCTGTGGTCCTGGTGTCGATTCAAACATGAGACACACCACAAGCAATACCTACGCGATTAACTCTGGATTAGTTTAGTAATTTAGTAAATTCTAAATTACTGTACCAACTTAGTATTCTATCCCGTGAAATAGCAGTTAATAAACTATTTGATATCTTACTGTTTTATATGATTTCTAATTTGTTTATGTTTTATAGGAGGAGCATATCCGACTACAGGAACAATCGGCCTCAGCTACACGTCTAAATGAAAATCCTGAAACTCGTTTTGCACAGCGAAGGTTAAGGTACATCCGTAAAGGGTGCTCCATAAAAATGGGGAAGAAAGGTGATGAGGCCAGCGCTATGGCCCAGGAGTCACCTTCATTGAGTGCTGGAAGATTTTGCCTCACTTTACAGAAAGTTGTGGTCTCCATGAAAAGGGATCTTATTGTCACCTTTACACTCGATGGAATTGAGAAGGTTTCGAATGTAGATAAAAACTTCACAGAAGAAATCAATGATGTAAGTTATTCACTTGACTGTTCTAAAAATAATGGCTGGCTTCATTATTTTAAGAAGCTGATTTTAAATACATTAGCTCCAAGTAAAGTTGTTCTGAACTGTTATAGAAACCATTTAACGTTATGAAAATATCAACCCACTCTGATTTGATAAATCAACAATTCTAACTATGAAAATTCCAGGTACACTTGTGGGAACGAGACATACCGCTATTGGACGACAGTGTTCTCGTCATCAAGATCGTCTCCAAGGAAAAACTCATGAAGAACAAGTGGGTTCATATCTAGCATAAAGAGGATTCATCCTCATGATATTTATTTGTGTCTGATACCTGAAAACGTTTTCTGTGGCACATTACGATTTCCTACCTTAATCCACTTTTTCAGGCTGGTTGGAGAATGTGTTTACTCTCTGAGATCCATTGCCATGGCTTCCACTGCGCAGTCAGCGGAGGTTAAAACCTCTGTAAAGGATGCATCTGGTAAACAGACTGACAACTTCTTACAGTTTAAGTTGGATTACGTTAAACCAAATCTGGATCCTGACGAGGCTGCAGCGGGCGGAGGGGCAGCAGCTTTAACTGATGTTGAAAAGACCAAAATCTCCAAAAAGGAAGCTGCCAAACTTAAATCATCGTAAGTTTTGGTGGAGGAACTTATAATTGCGTTTTGACACTTATTTTAAATTTATCGAAATACAGAGTCATAAATTTTATAGAAAGATTGATTTTTTTCCGCATTTTGAGACAATTTTACTCAGTATCACGATAAATGCACAATTAGGAACGATGCATAACAATTTAACTTTGCCAGAACGACGTCAGCACAAAGAAGAGCCCTACTGGATAGGGCCAACCTACCTACAAAACCCCAGGATTTCCAGATCAGGGTGTTTGTTCACGAAGCTAGAAATTTGTTCGGGGGAAATCTTCATCCAGTTACCAATGTGAATATAGGAAAGATGGGAAAGCACACTCGGGTACAAAGGTCAACTGCAAAACCTAAGTGGGAAGAGGTAGTGACATTTGCCTATTTTTGACATAAAATGAAAAAAGGAAAATACATTCACTTGAAAATACATTTACTTTGATCAACGTGAATATCAAAAATGATATGATATTGATCTACTCGAGTAAAAACCTGCATTTTAATCGGACTTTCAGTTTCTAGCGTCTAATAATTTGTGTGCTGGCTTCGATATATTTTAACAGTAGACAGGAAGAAATATTAAATATTTCAATAACCGTCAGTGCTTGATCTACGATTTCAACATGTCTCCGGCGGAACTAGTAGACATGCCCATCCTCATAGAAGTTCTCAACTCTAAGAAGATGAGATCTGATTGTCTGGTAGGATCCTTTAAGTTCGATGTTGGAGAGGTATACGTCTACTCAGGTTAGTCTAACTAATCACACGTGCTCTAACACGTGCTCTAACACGTGCAAATCACACGTGCTCTAAGTTCTAACACGTGCTCTAACACGTGCAAATCACACGTGCTCGGTTAACGGTTTCCACGTGATTGTTTCTATAACGTGTTTTTTTTTGCGTTTTTGGTCTCTGCTACTTCATGTGGGTTAACTATACTTCTCCTTAGATCACACATTCTGGCACAAGTGGATCCTCCTAACTGACCCTGATGACAAAGAGTCCGGAGTGAAGGGTTATGTTCTGGTTTCAATCTCCATCCTGGGACCTGGTGACAAGATCAAGTCACCTCCCAAGCTCAGTAATGCAGATGAGATCGATATGGAGTCGAATGTTCTGCAGCCTGCTGGGGTCCAGTTGCAGCCCTGCACTTACACCATCAGGGTTTACAAAGCAGAGGATCTACCTGAGAGTAAGTCTGACTTTATCTGTAATATCTCTCCATACTCCATGCTAAATATATTGTATTATGTATTCCATCTCAGACGCAGTTTTGATGATATAAGAAGTTGCGTTTAGCAATTTATCAATTTCAGTGGATGATCAACTTTTTCGTGACATGTTTAGGAACGGTAGGATGCTATATAAACATGCATGAAATAGTTGAAATACAAGTCAGTGATTATTAGTTGAGTCAAGCAAGTCACTCAGAAATGTGCTCAGCCAACTATAATTTTTTGCACTTTTATAGCTTCGAAATGACAAACCAGTTTTCGGGCTGGGCACATTTTTGTTTACTGTTTAACTCATCTTAAAGGAGATTTAAGCCGATTGTTTTTATAATTCGAAAATCGTTTTAAAAAAAGCGACATTCTGGTATACGCATGTTGCATGCCCTTTAACGTTTATGTAACTGGATTATGTTCATTCGGAGTTGTCATGAATATTATTGCTGGTGGTAGATGGGAATGACGATTAATAGATGATGTGATCCACGGATAACAGTAATCAAATCATGTCACCAATCGGTGACGATTAAATTTAGATGATGTGATCCATCAGTAGTATTTAATTGACCGAGAAACGGGCTAAATATAGGGTAGAGTTCGAATGACAACTCTGTACATCATAACTGTACATTAAGAAGTAAACATGATCCTTAAAATTTGTCTGCTCGACTCGTAGATCACATAAGCGACGGGAGCTCTTGCTATTGGGGGTAGTTCTCGTACCAATTAGGGACGTGAGACTTGCGTGTCGAAGGCATGCAATAGGAGTATCTGAACCGATCACATGTAAGTACGTGGCCTAGATCTTAGGTATATATACTGGAAGTGGAAGATGAAAGACAATAGTATCTCATTCTATCAACATGCCTACCTTCTCCAAATTCATCTCTGGTCGCGCAGGATCTCAACAGCTACTTGACTCCGATGGATGCATCTACTTTCGGCGACGAAGAGGAGACTGTCTCACACTTTCTCGGACAGTGCCCGGCTATTGCCCAAATAAGAGGTCAATATTTCCGGGACCACTACCTCTCTGTCAATGACATATTCGACAACCAACACATCTCCACCATTGTCAACTTTGCAAACCACACTAAACGCTTAATGGTGCCAGAGGAGTTGGACCAGACCGGTGTAACATAGCGACTACTTAAACGCCGTCTTATTTCGCCTCTCTCTTCCACACTCAACCACCACTTAAGCGTTCATCTATGACACAACCCACAACACTTACCATCATCCTTGATTACACATCTTGATTCCACCGGCATCCTCCCACAGGATTGCCATACCCCAGACTAGGTAGGCAAAGCATCCATATTCCATATACTATCCTCTCGTGGGCCAACCAGGCCCAGCCTCTCTTTTAAAAAAATCTACTTTCGGAAGAAGGACAAGGATTCAGCCCTCACATCTGCCTGGCGATGCTGCAAGCACAAACTTCCTACGAAGTGTCCCTGTGTGTGCTATCTCTCCCTCTCAGACAATCTCTCAGATTAAGTACAAAAACCCACAACCACGAAGCAGACATCGCAGCTCCTAAACGAAGAGAAGTCATAAAATTCCTGAAAAGGAAAGCTGCAGAGCAACCTCTCTCGGCGACACAGAACCTGGTCCTAGAAGTCCTCGCAAATACTTCATCAGTAGTGAATCAGATGCTCCCAACTATGGATTTCCTCGCACGAGTAGTGCAGCGAAGTAGAGCTGCAGCTTCCAGATCTGCCAAGATCAGTGTTAAAAACAGTGTTAAGAACAGTGTTAAAAACACCCACTAAGACTCCTCCATCCCCCTGTTAAACGAGATTAACACTGGTCCGACTCTTCACCCTGCAAAAAGGCTGACTACATCGTGCCAGACGCGGGTACAGCAACCATTGTTTGATGAAAATATTATCTTACTATTTTGTTGAAGTTTTGAATAATGCTGTCTTTTTTTTGTAAAGTAATTAATATTCCTAATAAAAAATTAGATTCCAACGGATTAATTTTCTGAATACCTCGTAAATTCAAAGTTGGTTTGCCTATTGTCACTAAGATGATAATTGCCTAAAAAGTTAAGCAAGCTTTCCAATACCCCTACATTCCCCGGAGAAACACAATCTTATATTTGAATATTAATTAGAAATCTAAAACATGGTCCTCAGTGGACAGTGACGCGTTTGACGGTGTGAAAAGAGCATTCGGGATGCAGCACGAAGGAATCGACAAGGTGGATCCGTACGTGGTGGTAAGTTTTGCTGGAAAGAAACTGAAGACAAACGTGATCTACAACAGTTACAGTCCGGTATGGAACCAGGAGCTGAATATGGGTATTCAGATTCCTACCATGTGCGAACAGCTCATGCTCAAAGTCATGGACAAGTAAGTTGTGTGACATGCTACTATAATTCTAGCATATGATATAAATATTTTATAAATATTCAAAATATTTAGAAAAATTAAAAATAATAGAAACTGGATTTTTAAAATGTTGGTATGTTTCCCCCAATACAAACCGTTTTCATTTTGCTATTAGTAACGATTAAAACTTTTCCAGAGATCACTTGAATAGAGACGACGTGGTGGCAACTAGTTTTCTCCACCTTACTAGACTTTCCTCTGAGGATACAGACGATGAAGGATTTTTACCGACTTTTGGACCAGCCTTTGTCTGTTTCTATGGAAGTCCCAGAGAATTCAGAAATATGAGCATGGATTTAGGGGGTCTTGATAAAGGACTTGTAAGTGCATTTATGGGAATGAATACGTTTAAAAAGTCATAATTATATTAGAATACAATCATATAATTATATTTATTTTATTTCGGAACTGTCAACCTTTTTAGTGTATAAAGTTAAAGATAGTTGATTGATATAAACTTTTGTGGAATGTTCAGTGGTGACGTTACGTTCACCCCAATGTTGACTATGTTCTATATCCCATCCAGGGAGAAGGATGTTCATTCAGAGGGAGACTCCTTGTACAACTGACTGTTACGCAAGGCCGCTATCCCAACCACGACGAGTACATCAAGCCAATAGATCACGACGACCTGTATGCCTGTCAGCAGTTCCAGCGGAGACGGAAGTACAGAACTTTTGTAGGGTTTCTGGAGGGCTGCATGATCAATCCTGTTGATGGTCCCATTGAGTTTGAAGTTACCATGGGTAAGTGTTAATTTCAGGAGATCCGAGCCTTTATCTATTATTTCCTGATAACAAATCAACTGAAACTGCAAAACTAAGGACGTAGAAAGGAGGAGGATCGTTCAGGTTTTATAGAATCCGTATGTCCCGTACCTTCTTAACTGGAAGAAAAATTAAGCAAATAATAAATAGTTCTTAATCTTATAATCGTAATTTCAGGAGACTATGGTAACAAGTATTCAGTTGGCCATGCTGCCATGGCCTCACCCTCGACCACCCAGCCTCAGAACGCTGTCTACGACGGACAGTCCTACTACTACATGCCGTGGAGGGATGTAAAGCCTTGTGTCATGCTTATTTCTCATTGGGAGGACAACACTTTCAGGATAGAGTCCCTCAACTTCCTGCTTAAAATTATTGACACTTTGGTGAGAGTTATAATATTAATAACTGAAGATTAATTTTATAGTGTCGAATAGAATTTGAATAATCAATTGTTGGTGGTTACTAAATCTGAGAAGTTAAAATATGCCATTATAAATCTTGAAAATAATGGTCAGAACTAAATTAAAATATAACCAGTGAACCTAACAGCAATTGTCACAGATTATTTATTATCAGGAGCAAAACATAAAAACAGTTGGACTGATGATAAGATCTGAAGCGCCTATCGAAGACAGCGCTAGAAGTCTCATGGCCTTGTTAGACAACCTCATTGATGATCTTAACAAGGACTTACTGGATCTCCCCACTAACTACACCAACCTTGATGAAAAGATGTACCGACTTAGATATGATGACATGGTAATTGGAGACAAACAAATCATGACAATTTCCAGTAAAGTCTGAATATTCTGAATATAACTCCACTTTTGACCTATTTGGCGGCCATTTATTAATTCCATAATTGCACCGGTTTTTGTTCCAGGGGGTGCGATTACAAAACTAATTGCACTGTTTTGAGAGTGACCGAAATCTTATTAGGTACGATTACTAAACTAATTGCACTGATTCCCTGAAAGATGCTGTAAATCATGGCTCAGGCAGATAATTAGAGTTAGAGAGAGCACCTCTGACCTCGTAAAATGAGGACCTAATTAAAACCGAGTATTTTACTACTGTGAGGTGCTGATTCAAGTATTGACTTAAATCAACTACCTGAGATAGTTTGGCGACCGTTAGTGCAATGGTCGCACGAAATAAATTTATGGGCATAAATTTAAATTTATAGTTTAGGACAACATCTTTCCTTGTGTTTGGAATAAGTCAATCCTTACATTGCATTAACACAACACAGTATGAGGCTGAGATCTCACTAATTATTTGTAAAACAAAAAGTGGCATAACTTATGTTCTGATAAATATTTTTGCTTCTAAATTTCACAGAATGTTAATAACAAGTATCTAAACCTTTGTGTCAAGTTTTGTGTGATTGCGAGCTTCACTGAGCTTATTTGACCAATTTAGCCCCTGAGCGAGCTAGCTTGAATTTCTCACCCAGAACTGTTTACATTGGTTAATAGAAACCACCAAAAAAAATCCTGGGTAACAAAATTAAAAAACCAGCGATTTATTCACGTTTTACCAATTCTATTCACATGGATCCATCGCACATTCCATTCTCTCTATATTTTAACTGATAAGGACTATCACAGATGATCCTTCCTGCTTGTTTATATCGTTCTTCTTACATGGAATGTGCGATGTATCATGGTGAATAGAATTGGTAAAACATAAATAAATCGGTGGTTTTTTAATTTTTTTACCCAGGATTTTTTTTGTGGTGTCTATTAACCAATGTAAACAGTTCTGGGTGAGAAATTAAAGCTAGCACACTCAGGAGCTAACTTTGTCAGACAAGCTCAGACTCACACAAAACTTAGCACGAAGTTGTGTCTAATTATGATTAACATTCTCTAAAAATTTTTATCAAAAATATTAATCAGAACGTAAGTTATGGCGCTTTTCCATTCTGAAATAAAATAATTAGTGAGATCTCAGCGAGCTGTTACAATTTTAAGAGATAAGGATGGGTAGACTTTTGAGGCCCACCCTGTATAACAACAACAGTTGAACAAAGTCGGTGCGATTATAAACTAATTACACTGGTTATAACATCAGAGGCGTGGAGTTATACGCGAATCTAACTGCATGTATAATACGATTACACCAGTTATTGCACTCGGCTGCGCCTCGTGAAATAACTGCAATAATCGAACTCGGCTTCGCCTCGTGCGATTATTGTATCAATTTCCACTCGGCTGCGCCTCGTGCAATTAATAGTGTAATCGCATTATACGCAGTTAGATTAGCGTATATAATTTACTCACAAACTGGGTAAATAATTATCGGGTACCGTTCAAGCGACTGTTCTGTCTCTTCTTAAACCTGATCCAGTTATCTTTTCAGAGAACTATATCAGACGAGGCTAAAGAACTGAGAGAGAATGCTGTGGATTTAGAAGCAGCGTTAGAAGAAATAGAAAACTACAAATCGAGGCTAAACACTATTGCTGTCGAGGTATAAATTCCTGTGAATAATTGCAGTTTTTTGCACTGTGCCTTCCCAATACAATGAATGATTTCCTCCAAAATTTGTCAATAATCTTATAAATATAATATACCGTAAGGTTGTGACATTTTAGTTGACTAAATATGTTATATAATAAATGATATTCCACACAAAGCTTGAAATTGTGCTGTATATGAGTGGTGATTTCGCTCTGAGAATCAGGGTCAGTAGCTCAATTGGTAGAGCAAGATACGCGAAATGTCGAGGTTCTGGGATCATTCCCCAGTTGTCCCTAGTTTTTCAGAGTTAATCATCACCTATAGACAGCATGAGAGTAGGCCTGGCCATCTCGAAGTGATAAATATGTTATATAGCGTTATACAGTCTCGCTGATTTCGCCCCGTATTTTAGCCGCAAAACAGTATCCCTGATCTAATAATCTGGATGCTGGTGGGCGGGAGACGAGAAGCCTACATCAGGATACCATCTCACGAAATAATGTATTCTAATGGAGAAGATGCTATTGGGATGAAGTGCGGCAAGACTTCCACATATCTTCTGAAAGTATGAAAGCAGATAATATATTTAAATAGTTGACCACCTTCAATGATCAAGATTTGGATGTTACTAAATAAAATAAAACTATGATTGTTTCATCTAAACTTAATATTAACCCGGATAGTTTATAAGTGATCAGTTGGCTAAGTTGACTAATGTCACATTCCAGAAACCTTGTATGACAGATAGAATCAATCACAAGTCCAACTGGCTGTTGCCAGCTAAATTACAACTTTTCATCTGGATGGGGTTGGACGATGCTGCAAAAAGCATTCAACATCGGCCATATGATGGAGAGATTTCTGTGTTTGCCGAAACGGTATGTATTTAAATAAATCTAGTTTGATATAACGATTGCAACTTAAAAATCACCTTTAACAAATATGGAATACAATAATTGCTAATAGATGAATCGTTCATTTTCCTAAATCTGATATTTCTAAATTGAAGGGATCACTTGATATTCAGTCAATTTGAACGAAGCATTATTGTCTTCAGTACGAGAACATGGTATTTGTGCCGCCGGGGTGGACCACCAAGATGATGACCAGGCCAAAGTGGTCTGATTCCACTGGAAAACTAAAGCTCCCCAAATACTGCTTTGAGACACCAAGTGGTTGGCTCTGGGACGATGACTGGTTCATCAAACCTCAAGTCACGTATGTCACCTTTACCAACTACAGCGTATAAATTACACATAAAGAGTTGATAGTACATGTAAATGCACCGTTTTATAAATACCCAAATATTATCTATTTATTGCATAGTTGTCATGACAATATCCTCCAGGTCGACTGACACGGACAGTTCCATAATGACATTCCAAGATGACGTGTACGAAACAGTTACCAGATTACCAGGAGGTAACTGGACCAGCGGTGAGGTTACCTGGGAGACCAACCTGGGCGAGGAGCACGTGGCAAAGGAAGCCATCATGCCTCCTAATGGCTGGGAATGGAATGATAGCTGGCAGGTGGATTTGAGTAGAGCTGTTGACGAAGTTGGTAAGTTCTTGATGGGCAATGGGCAAGAAAAATTAAATTATCAGAAAGCTAACGTCAGTTATAGTAAAGAAGTGTATCAAAAGGTGAATATTTCATCTTCTCATCTTGTGAGAACTCGCACATTCACATCATTCATGATAGTATAGGCTTCATTGTAACACTTCCCATCATAACAAGGTTTGTTTCTTCATATCAATGAGATAATGTTCCATCTTACAACCGTGTATATCCAGTATCATTACCTAATATGGTCATCATGTGCCCTATATCCAGTATCGTTACCTAATATGGTCATCACGTGCCCTATCAGGTTTTGAGTACTGTCTGGATCACACAGTTACTGGCTATGTCCCTGTCGAGAAGACATACCACCTTCACCGACGAAGAAGATGGGTCAGAAATCGAAAAAGAAATCCAGATATAAGACAGAGGGCTGTGCAGGTTCGATAGTCTATTATGATTTCACAACAATTCTGCAGTGATTCTACTGATTCGTATAAACTTAATATATAAAGCAGACAAGATAACTATGAAAGAAGCAAAACTTACTTATGCCTCAATCTTCCAAATATGGGAGGTTTTGTGAGCAACACCTTCCATATTTTGAATATACTCAGACAATTTAGAATTGTTTCTTCATCAGGAGAAGATAAGGGAAGAGGCAAAAGAAGGGTGGGAGTATGCTCGATTGTGGGGCAGTAAGTTCCACTTCAAGCAACGGAAGATCGATCTTGTCCGGCGGAGATTGTGGCTCCGGAAGATGGTAACTTCAAACCCCGACGCGGAACCAATCTTTACTTTCACGGAGGATCTTCATCTGAGTAATGAAAATTTGGATCAGACTGGGCAGAAAGCTGGTCAAATTCCGGCTTTTTATTCACCTAGAATGTACATCACCTACAGAGGTGAGGAATTGGAATAGGAACCGACCGAATATTCGGCTGAATCCGCGGTTCTGGCCTGATATATTCCGGCTTCAATATCTGGTCCAGTCCAGTAGGTGTTTGGCCGGATATCAACCGAAATTTTCTTTTGTATTTTTTGAAAATTTGATTAATTAGTTTACAAAATATGCTTGTACATTCTAAACCCCGCACTTCTCAGAGTCGCACAAATACCAACTGAGAGCATACCTGTACCAGGCGCGTGACCTCATCAGTGAGGATGCATCGGGTCTCTCCGATCCATACGCCAAGATCATCTACGGCAACCAGTCGAAAGCTACCAAGATTATCCCAGAGACGCTGTGTCCGACTTGGGATCAGACTGTTATTCTGGATGGAATCGAGATATGGGGGTGTCCTGAGGAAGTGAGCCAACACCCACCCTCCGTCGTATTGGAACTGTTTGATTACGATCCTGTGGTATGTGTGATCTTTATCATTTATATTACTGTCACTCATAGTCATTAGTCATGCACAACTTTAATATTGAATGTAATTTCTAAGCAAAGGCTCGACTTAATTTGGCGTGTCTTTGTGCTAACCCATATCATGTTGTGTCCTTCATTTAATCATTAATTGTGCTATTGTCCGAATTTTCTTTGCACTATTACATCGCACTGCGAACGGATTTTTTTCATCAAAGGAAAATGGATAAACATTGATCAGTAAGCAGATCAATAGATATATATTAAATATTAATTCAGGGCCACGATTTCCTGGGACGAAGTGTAGTAAACCCGATGGTAGTGATATTCGCGGAGGACGCAATGACCTGCAGACTAAACTGGTACCCGATACAAAGAGGTCCTAACCCTGGTGGGGAGATATTAGCCGCTTTCGAGCTTTACTTGGTATGTCACATTAGTTATAATATTGGATTTTATAAAATTTCTATTAATGAATTAACGAGTCGAGCTGGAATTTTGTGTTAATATTTTATCAGATAATATTTTAGGGAATAATCATATAAAACATGACAATAGTCTGCTTGCAGTGGTATCAAAACTATATAATTCTTAAGAGAAGTTAATCATCATTCAAAGTTTCTTTTTCGTTACTTCTACAAACGTTTTCACCTCTATCTATTCGCTCGCAGTATTCTCATTACTTCATTAAAATAACTATAGTGCTGTCCCTTGAATTTCCCCGTTTGTATTTTGTCTTGGATCCATTTCTACTGACCGGGCTTGAGATAGAGCATTCGAGATAAACTGGCAGCAATGCAATGATCGAACGAACCTTCTGAAGCTGGTAATTGTGAGATAGTATATGTAGAAATTACAAATGGTGTTAAAGTAAGAGCAAGATTGTCCAACCCTACTGAAAGTTGTGTTCTCTCTAGATTCAAAGATGATGTGATATATTGCCTTGGGTAGCACGGAGATGCAGTAAACTGCTGCTGTGAGGGTTATAGCCAGGAATCCTTGCCATCTTTGAGGATTGTTGCTGCTTCGTTTTGCCAATTTTCTTGCTTTGACAAGGTACCTCATAAGAAGTATGCTGGTGATAACCACAAGAATGTTTGGGGTGAGCAGAAAGATTACACCCATTACCGGTTCAAGCCACTTCCAGGTGCTGGACCCCCGAGCAAAGTCATAAGAATATGTGTGGTATCCAAAGTTAACGTCTCCTTTTTCGAAAATAAATATCAGGATTGGTACAATAATTGCAGTTCCCCATATCGCTGCACATCCAAAATGAGCATGCCGTGGCTTCATTAGCCCAGCTCGTACTGGATGATTAAGGGTGAATAACTTGTTAGCGGTCAGGGCACAAATTAGAAGTCCACTCACTACAAAGAAATAGTAGTCGGTGTACGCTTGGATGTAGCTGTACCAACGGCCTAGGATCCAACCATTTGCAATGAGTGATATGAGTCTTGGGAGCACGGAGGATATTATGGTGATCAGTAAATCACATACTGCTATGTTCTGTATTATCACTATGATCAGTTTATGGAGTTTTATTGCTCTGTACTTGATGGATGCTATAAGGATAGTTGTGTTCCCTATCAGCGATGACAACAAGACGAAAATGAAGTATCCGGCCCAAGCAAATCTTTCGTTGTCGTTCTCTATCTTTATTCCAAATGTGCTATTGCCGTTAGGATTCATCGCGAATTATCAAAATCAGACCAACTATAAATTAATAAACAAACGCAAAATGTTACTGAGTAAAAATGCATGTATTGCCTTTTTTCTTCCTGTTTTATTTTGATCACTTTTTCTTTTCCATACGGTAGCATCCACCGCGACCGTATAATTTCAGATAATGTAGTAAAGTGCTCCCACTAAATCGCTCGCCCAAATTTTAAGAAAATCCTTGTGAAAAGGCCCTGAGGGTGTAAAAGTAATCTAGATCGGTGTATTTTTGGACGCTGATTCCGAATCACCCCCCATGACGTAGGGTAAAAATTAAATGCTTCCCTGTAGAGTAAAGAGTGTACCGTCAGTGTAGGTCGGTGTATTTTTGCAATCTTGCTACTCATAGTTTAGATTGGTGTGTCGAACTAGATACTCTTCCAAACCTTCCAGCTTTACCCAACTATATAGCGCGGGAAGGGATAAGGTTCGTATCATCTTCTGGTTAAACATTTTAACGTATTTTCCATCGATCAGAACGACGAAGACGATAACATTCTACCCTCGCTTCCTCCAATGATGGATGAAACATACCAAGTAGCTGCAGCTATTGCTCCAGAGATGCAACACACTAGAATTGAGGTTATTATGTCATTCAATTAGATTTGAGGCTAATGTTAACCAGTTTTATAAATAATTAAGTATCATTAAACATAATATTTATATATTTTACGTCGAAAATTTGTGAAAATTCCACCGGTCTAATTCTTTTAAACTCATTTTAGTGATTAGTTCAAGTTGTACTAGGTAGAATCTTTCACTTTAGACTAATTTAGGTTAAGACTTAAGAAACATAATTGTACCATATACTCCACTATACAGTAAACACTATACATCGTACACCATACTGATTTAACTGAATTATCAAATTTTAAAGGAAATGTACAGATATGCTACGACCAAATATCTTACAAGCACTTATAAACATATCAGATTCTAACGTGGGGTGTGCGGAACATGAAGAAGTTCCAGCTCTCTGCCATCAACAATCCTAGTATAGAGATAGAGTGTGGTGGTGTTGTCAAGAGCACTAACAAGATTAAAAACGCTAAGAAGAACCCTAATTTTGATACCAGTTCTCTCTTCTTCGATGTGGTAAGAATTTGAAAACAGCTCGCTGTTCAGTTTCACATTATATACCGAGTTTCCAATAGAACTTATCTTTTTTTGTACTCTCTCATCAAACTTAGTATGTTATCTGGAACCTCTCCTCTAGTACCTACCGATAGAGGAACTGTACATGCCGCCTCTGAACATCAGACTACTGGATCACCGAACCTTTGGTCTGAAACCACTTGTTGGTACCCACACCATTCAGAGTCTCAAGGATTACAGACGCGACCCTGTGGCTCAATACCAAGCTATACGAGACAAAATGCTCATTGATGGTATGAAATGCATATTATTCGTGATAGACATTTTATAATTTTCTTGAATTTGTAATATTTTTATTATTAGTTCAAATCAACAGTTCATTTATCATATGGTGGGTTTTCTAAACTTCTTTAATTGTACACAAAATGTTTCAGGGTTTGGAGGTACAGATTCGGAATATGAAATGGAACGAGGAAGAGAATCTCCAGATGGTGGTTTCTCCAACGCTTCTACATATAAATCCTTACTTGATTCTGCTTCCAAAACTTTTAAAGGTACGGGCATTTATTTAATTAATTTCGTAATTCTGAACCCTGTCACCCTGACTAAAATTGTTCGACAGTTGTGAAAATGGTTGTAACATATTACCTTATTCACTTCGATCTGATTGATTTTGTTGACAAGGTGCGTCAGACACAGTTAAAGGAGGAACCGGCACTTCAACCGGGACCAGAAAGTCAGTGTACTCCTGGTTCAGCAACGGAGACGGGGAGAGTGACGAGGACTCGGACTCCGCCTGGGAACCTCCCTTCTTTGGGGATGACGAGGAGGACCAGTTGGTGGATGATCTGGACTGGTGGAGCAAGTACTACGCTTCTATTGGCGACGAGAACTTAGGTATATTGGTTTGCTTCTTTGGCTGTTCTTTTCGTAATGTTCTCATGATTGAGTTGTTGTAGATGTAGATTGTAGATGTATATGTAGATTGAGTTTTTGTAGAATGTAGATGGGGCTTAATTCACTTAATTTTAACCTCTACCTTATCGGACCTTATTTGGACGGACATTACTTGAACGCTGGAGGCCCTAGCGTTCATCTTTATGTCCGTTCAAATAAAGTCCGTTCAATTAATGTCCGTCCAAGTTAAAGTCCGTTGAAATTTTTTCAAAAATTTTTCCATTTCGAACTTTTTGTCCAGAATGTGACAACTATGAGAACTTTATTGTGCCGTAAGTTAACGACGGAAAGGTTCTCCTTGGTCTGCCGGAGGCACAGAAAACTCTACTAGTATATGATGTCTTCAAGGGTCACTTGGCGGAAAAAGTCAACGAAATTATGATTTATGGCACTCAGCCTCTAGGTATTACGGTAAATCGTGTTGCCAAGGACATTGTCCGACGTTGTTATAGTTCATTTTAGTATTACTGAGGGGAGGTAACGAAACAGTGCTAGGAAAGCTCCACGTGATGTTAAGGTTAACCTAAAGTTGTCTAAGATAAAAACCACTTCACGCCGAATGGCCAATGAAAGTTAACACTGAAATGCAGGACCGGGGTAGTTTGATAAAAAAGGTTTCCATAAAGCTAGAAATCACTGATGCTTGTGTAAGCATGGACTATTTCATGCACGAAAACCCATTTGATGAAGATGATATGTGATATTAGACACTGATCATGTACACATATTTTAACATTTTTACTGCTTAATGACTGATCTTCTTACTTACTGTATAAAAAATGGATTTAAAAATCATTTGCTGAAATTAAAAAAACGTCAAAAAATTGGAAAAAAATTCGGATTTTTGATGGTTTTGAATGCCTTCTAGCGTTCATATTAATGTCCGTTCATAATTATGTCCGTTCATGTAATGTCCGTCCAAATAAGGTCCGATAAGGTATTTACTAGCTGATGGTTTTATATTTCTATGATTAAAAACTAAATTTGCCAATATTTCCCAGGAAGAGTTTATAATGAGAAAGGGTACGAATCAATGGAATATTTCGAAGAGTTGGAGCTACGATTTGGAAACTTCAAAGATCTTGCAGAATCCTACCCCATTTGGCACGGCAAGCACGACGAATTGCAGCCAGAACTTGATAGAGCTGTCGGGCACTTCAAGGTTTGTTTGATGATCTGTAATACATAAAAATATTCAACATATTTTGCATATTTTGTGAAACATGCTAAGCTGGACGTGCCTGGCATCTGAGCTAATCAACTGCTAACGGTTATCCTGTTATTGTTTTCACTTTTCAACATGAACCCAACTATGGGCCATTCGCCCCATTGTCGAATTTCATGGTTTTCTGGTCAATTTTTTCGTAATATTGATCCAGATAAACACTCATACTTCATCCTTGAACCTATTGTATAATCAACAATAGACCAACTTTGGTGTGTGCAGAATTGACACATTTACTTTTGATCTTGGTATTTGGCAAAGAATGCAAACAAGCCTGTCTATACCCATATATATACCAGTTCTGTTTTAGAATTATCAATTAGGGGTCGTTCACACTTCACATATTACGTAATCAGCCGAGGGGGGGGGGAGGTTCCAAATGCTTACGGAGGGGGGGGGGGGGGTCTGGTCTCAATCTTTCAGTTATAATCTATACGTCTTTCATATTATTAAGTCAAATCCCGGGTCCCGGCAAAAAAGGTTTTGGTGTATGTCCCCTTAATGTAGCATGAAACGTAGAGAAAGGTGTTTTCTAGGAAAAAAGTCAAGGGGGGGGGGGGGGGGGGGGGGGAGGGTCAGGCCATGATTACGTAATATTTCTGTCAGGAGGGGGGGGGGGGGTAGTCAGGCCATGGTTACGTAATATTTCTGTCAGGAGGGGGGGGGGTTCTCAAAGTTAAATTTTAAACATTTAAATGATACGCTTTTTTCTTTGTAGTAAAATCGGTGATAATGATACTTTCATATTACAGCATACCAACATGTTGCACTACTTTTGTGTTGTTGATATCATATCCCCTTGTTTTCTTAACTCTTATCATTGTTCAACTATCCTACACACGTCACCACGCTGTTTTAGTTCGTCTATAATTTTATCAGTATATTTACAAGAGTTCGTTGGGTAATTATACAAGATCACTGTCGAGTATACTCTGGCTCTGGAGATTTGAATGTAAAGGTTCGGAATAAGGTGAGGGTCTGGATACTCTATTTTACTGCAATCAGGTAGATTAACTATTGCGGAAAATCTCATGATAGAGATAACAGCTGGCCACTCTGCTGACGCAACCTCCGCTGTGCGACACATCTTTATTTTGTCGTCTGTTGTATCCCAACTCCTTTTTACACTCATAACAGTACGTACTGCACACTCTTGTCTTTTCTCACCAAGAATGTTAGCGACAGTGAGAATTATTGCGATATCTTTGTTTTTAAGACAACTACCAGATCCTCTCAGCTTCTTCAGCTCTCTGATCAGAATATCTTTAAATGAAGCTGCCTCACCATCTCCCACCAGGTAGATGACTGGTTTTGCACCACGAAGAAAATGGCTTTTAGCTTGTAGTGGCCAATTTACAGATCCAGTTGCATAACATATTTTCTCGAAGTGTTTTCTGATTACGGACAACACGGTAGAAATCTCGAATGTGTTTCGCAGATTGATTGATAGTTCTAATCTTGAGTTAACAAAATATGTTTTAAATTTGTCCATATTTTTCGATATCGTACTCATATTATAAATACCGGGGAACTTTCGATCAAGCATTTCCATATATGATTGTGCTTCATCACTAAATATCCAGACACTAGTATCGCTTTTATCACTGTTCATCACGATGGGTAGTAGTCCCTTTGATATAATATAATTATCTTGGAAGTTAGGTATAGGATCATTGTAGATATTGTCGACAAGAAACTGATAGTCGTCAACAAAAACACTATCAAAACTCGTTACAAAGCTGTCGATACTTTTAGATAAGCATCTCCTGGTGACTAGAAGTACAATTTTACTGGTACAGTCAAACATTTGGTGTGACAATGATCTGTTTGCTTCGTTAAACTGATCAGTAATATCACCCTGTGTCGTTCCGTAATCATACACTATCATCTTACATGCTATGTCGTGTCTGATGTTGTTAAGTAATTTCATATGTTGAACTGTCATTAGAGAGTTATGAAATGCCACTACCATTAAAAGAATCCTCTTCTCAGGTGGTGTGTTGAGAGCCAGGTCTATTATTTTTCCTAACATTGCAATGGATTTTCCTGCTCCTGCAGGGCCCTCCACCCACAGGAATCTCTCGTTACTATTAAACACATCTAACTGGTGTTTTGTTAGACAGCTTATCTTTAGATGGTGTTTAAAAATATCCGGTGCAACGACCATTTCGGGATTTTCTGGATATTTCTTTTCTTTTCCTTTCCTCTTCTTTTGGCACGCATTCTGCTTTCCTTCATTTATTAATTTTCGTGTAACCAATGCTCTTTTGAGTTTCTTATTTGTATCAATGATGCAATAAGACAAGCTACAAATACTTAATTCCCATTTATTTTGTTGGTTGATACACCACAGTCCAAGAAGACAACAACACAATTTATCTCTCACAGTTTTCACAACTGTTCCAGTTACTGTTAGCGAAGAAAATGTTTCACAGCAGCTGATAATATATTTCAAGTGATTGATTGGGAACTGGGTTTTACTACCCCAGTTAATGTTTACTAAAATAGATATTGAACAGCAATTTAATAAGATAAAAATCGTACCAGCGTACTTTAAAATCTGTATGATTCATGAAATTAAAAGTAGCTATGACCATTAAGAGTTAAATATATTGTTTATATTCCCCATCATGGACTAGTGGCTCAACAAAACTGCGTCGGAAATTAAAGCTCAGCTAAAGCCTGAAGACTATTCAGTCTTGTATAGAAAATAACTACAGCTACCAATATGTCCCTCACAAACATGGTCCAAAACATATCAAAACAGCACACGAAACACACACTCAAAAAAAGTTGTCAACCGTTGCTCTCATTGGCACAATAAATTTGCCCGTCCTTTATGTAAAACTTTTTGGTCGGTTCTGCAAGTGCCCGCTTCTTCATGTCCTGTACCAGATCTTTCCGGAGCTTCCTCTGTTCGACAGACCGATCAGGGCTCAAGAAAACTGTCTTAAACTTCTCACTCTGCCGCAGGTTCCTGGCATTCCTCAGAATCTGATTAATGATGAGCGAGTTTGAGGTGATAACTTTAACTGGTCGCGTTGAGTCAACCGTTTTCTTTTTTCCTATTCTCTGAGCCTCTACTTTTGGCTTTATGCCAATAGTTTCCAGAACTTCACTGACTTGAGATTCGAGCTTCTCTTCTTTTTCCTCAGGCAGACCGAAGATAAGAAGGTTCCTGCTGCGGTCCTCCTCTGCAACAATAGTCTTGACTACAGACGTCAATGCTTCCGGGCTGATTACTGGAGACTGTGCTGGCAAACTTTGAACGACTGAGCTGTAAGATTGGAACTCCGCTTTCACTGAATCAGCAACTGAACTTGACACAGTTTTCTTCATCGCTTCAAGTTGCTCAGTCTTGCAAGCTGATAGCTCGGTCTGAACACTGATAACCTGCTCTTGCTTCTCAATTAACTGACCCTGAAGTCTGGTCAACACATTCTTATACGCTTCAACGGTCTCCATAAGATAGTTCGTATACTCAAAAGATCGACCACACACATCGACAATCTCCGGCTTATTCAGTCTGTTGAAGTTCTTAGCGTCCGCAATGTCCTTTAACTTTCCGTAAGGCTTGCCAAATTTCTTCAGAGTCTCTTTGCTCCAGGTGAACACCTCATTCCACATGTAATTGATACTTTCCAAGTCCAAATCTGCCATTGTAAAGATCAGCACAAGTTATCCAGATCTTCACTGAACAATATTGTTTCATCACATAGATAATTTAATTCCTCCACCTCTTCCATGGAAATGTTCGGAAATGCTGAGAACTCGTATACCATCACTGAGGGTTCTATTGATTTAATTAAATCACTCATCCTATTCCTTTGTTTCTGTGCATTTTTACAACAACCCTTTAACTTTATGCTTCCATCTACTGTGTCCTGCAACGATAATCCTTTAACTTCTAGCACCGCAACAAACAGATCTCCTACAACTAAAAAATCACATTCTCCTTCAATTTCCCTCATCTGCTGTTTCGTCTTTTTACACTGATGGTTTGGAACGAAAGCAGAATATTGTTCATGCGTATATTCTAGCTGATGAATAACTACATATGCACAGTGTCCATCAATCTCCTCAAGACATCGGTAGAGTTTAACTTCGGCTTCATATGCGTTCTGGTGTTCCTTTTCCTGGACATTGGCACCTTTTAACTCAATATCTTCAGGAAGCTTATCGATAAACTTTGAGTCCGGTATCGGGGGCATCATGATTGGTCCTGAAGTTAAATCTCTTTTCCTACAATAATTGTCCAAAATCTTTCTGCCAATTTCATTTTCAATCCTATCACGAAGCCAAGACTTTGAACACATTATCTGATGAATATTTGTGGAAAGTTTTCAAGAAACAAAAACGTCGAATACAGGCTGGATAAGAAGTATCAATTGATCAGATCTAAATGATTTCTAGGAATTATTGTAACTTAAATGTCTCTTATGGAATTATAAGAAATGCATTTAGTACATGTACTAAATCGATTGACGGAATATAATGTTGTAGCATAAAAAGAGTCGATAAACTGTGCAGATTTAGAGACTGCACGGTAACAATTCTCTTTCTAAAACAAAACTAAGCACAACGATGAGCGACATCACAAAAACAAAGCACTCCTAAGAAACCCTTCTTAATATACAGTATGTAATGTACGACAGTAACACAACTCACCAGCTCTCACAACAAGACCACTGCATATACTCAATACATTATTACCGTGTCTCTACGGTATGTGTGTAAGAGGTCGTTCACATATTACGTAATCAGCCGGGGGGGGGGGGGGTGGGGTTTCCAAATGATTACGGTTGATTACGGGGGGGGGGGGGGGGGGGGGGAGGGGGGTTGGTACCTCTAGAATAATACAAATTTGACAATTATTAATTCAAATTCCACTCAATTTCATCATCGTAGTGATAAAATTTAGAAATTGATCGGATGTCCGACTATAGTAAGTAGTTTGAAAGGTGCTTGGCCGGATATCATGACATGAAACGTAAAGAAAAATGACTTCCAGGGAAAAAAGTCAAAGGGGGGGGGGGGGGGGGGGGGGGAGGAGTCAGGCCATGATTACGTAATATTGCTGTCAGGGGGGGGGGGTTGTTGGGTCTTGATTACTGTTGATTACGGGGGGGGGGGGGGGGGGGGGGGGGGGGAGGGGGTAAAAATTGCTAAAATATTTTATTTTAGCAATTAAATAAAAATTGCTAAAAATGATAACGTAATATGTGAACAACCCTTATCATCTCTGTCGATAGATTTTGAATGATAGGCGAAATATAAATTTGTTTTTATTTTTCACAGCTGTAAGGCTTCATCTTTAAAAAGTATTTGACAAGACACATCTCCAGGGAACGTTCAGAATCTACCCGTTACCAGCAGATGGGAGCGAGCCCCCTCCCAGAATGTTACAAAACGCTCCCAGTAACGAAACTATCGAGCTCAAAGTTCGAGTGTATGTCATCAAGGCCAAAGATCTCCAACCCCAAGATCCAAACGGATTCGTAAGTAAAAGTGAACAAGTTTCAGTTATTTAATAGTCTTGATAATGAGTGAATAAATGTGATAATCTTGGTATTAGAGCTCAGTTTTTACTCTTATACTGCTCCCAGAGTGATCCATATCCAGCTGTAAAGTTAGGAAAGACGAAGATCAGAGACAGAGATAACTACAAACCTAAATGTTTGGAGCCCATGTTCGGATTGTAAGTCCTATTCGATTTATTATGCTCCATTTTCTAACAGCAGTCTTCACCATGAATACCTTGCATAATTTGTCAAAGAATTATGAATTAGTCACAAATGTGACAGGAAAAAAGATTTACCTGTTATTTGTTCAGGGTTTACGAGCTGGACTGCACCATTCCCCTGGAATCTGAACTGAAGGTCCAGATATTTGACTATGATTACATGTCTGGAGATGATCTGATTGGAGAAACTAAGATAGATCTCGAGAACAGATACTTAAGTACTCACAGAGGCATTTGTGGCTTACCTAAACGATACTACACGTATGTAATCGAGTTAAACTTAAACCTTAATACTAAAATGTAATTCCAATTTTCTGATAGTTACCCTTGAAAGAAATTCTACAAACCATGTGATTTGTGTGTTCACTGATTTATCTCATTTCAGGGCTGGTCCGTTCAAGTGGCGAGACTGCCAGACTCCCAAGGAGATTCTAGAGGAATGGTGCTCGACCCAGGTTCTCAGTCCGCCCATGTGGTCAGGAAACTGTCGGGTAAAGGTAGCTGGGGTTCTGTACCTCCTCTCTGATTACGAAGTAAAAGGGAAGGTTCACAAAGATTGGGGACCTGCTGATGAGCGGTTAGCGTTGTACGTACTCCTTGACAACAAACTGGTTCCAGAACATATTGAACAGAGGACTCTTTACAACCCACTGCGACCCGAAATATCTCAGGTTAGATCTATAAATGCAATGATATTACCCTTCCAATTATTGGTTGATGGAAACGTTATTGTTCTATTTATACCGAATTAACATGGATTTTACAAGTTTTTTTAATTTACAGGGTGTTATCGAATTGTTTGTGGACATATTTCCCAAGAGCCGCGAGATCCCGGGTCCTATAAACATTACACCCCGTGCCCCTCAAGAGTAAGCTTTCTTTATTTTCAAACTTCAAAGCTAACACTTAAAACTTTAAAATTATAATCACCCTGATATTGAAAGCCAGCCAAATGGTTCATGTTCTAATTCTTTCTTTACAAATATCCTGTAGTATCTCTTACTATTTAAGATTTAACCCCGTTTATATTAATTAATTTATTAACTCAGCTTGGAACTGAGGGTTATCATATGGAACTGCTCCGATGTGGTATTATCGGATATAAGCATGACGGGCGAACTGATGAGTGATATCTATGTAAAAGGATGGTTAAAGGGTCAAGACAAGAAACAGAGGACTGATGTGCACTATCGGTCACTTAACGGAGAGGGAAACTTTAACTGGAGGTACTTAGTACTAAAACAATACTAATTTGATTCAATTCCTTTGTATCTGACGAAAGCTTTGTGGTTATTACGCTATCAGCTAAAATTGTTTGAGTTTATTTTGAACTATTATGTTATCAAGCGCAATCCCAAAGGTTGATATTCCCGTTCAAGTACCTACCGGCAGAAGAAGTGATGGTTATCAAGAAAAAAGAACACTTTTATTCTATCGACAAGCACGAAGAAAAGCACCCTGCTATATTCTGCGTCCAGATTTGGGATAACGACATCTTTCACGCGGACGATTTCTTGGGTGTTCTTGAGTTAAATCTGAATAAAATGCCGAAACCTGCAAAATTCGCAAAAACTGTCTCATTGGACGATCTTATAGACAATGATAAAGGTTATTTTATGCTAACTGTTCAGTCTAGTTTCTTATTTTTCAGCATCTTCTTATGAAATTGTGATTTTACTAGTTCAAGTACATGGTTATTGAAGAAGCGTGGTAATATGAACAACATTTAAACTTTAAGGGAAGGAAGTTCAAGTGATCTCCTTGTTTGACCAGAAGAATATTAAGGGTTGGTGGCCCTGTTACTGTGACTACGACCCCTCCATTCCCAGAGAGTTAACTGTGAGTTTTAGATCTTGGGTAGCGGAGTATTTACACATATTAAAGGAGGGAGGGAGGTTTCTAAATTATTGCGCTTGTGCAATTTTGACACAATAGCTATCTGTAAAACTGATTATGGACTCATGGTGGGGGGGGGGGTTAAAATTTGCCAAAAAGTGATAACACAATATTGAGTAAACGACCCGGCCCTTGGACATGAAAGAAAACAATTGTTCAATCAAACTACATTTTTACGTAATTTTTACCAGATCATTATTTTTCCAGAACATTAATTGTACATGTATTCTTATCAGGGCAAGATTGAAATGGAAGTGGAAATACTGACTAAAGAAGACGCCGAGACCAAACCTGCTGGCAAAGCGAGAGACGAACCAAACGAAAACCCTAAACTTAAACCACCAGAGTAAGTCCTCATTAAACACTAGCTTCTTTAAACTGAGTTAAACTCCACCGACGCTGCTTTTCATGACAAATCGCATTCTTAGACCTTAGTAAAGTACGTTATTACTTCCTGCAAGTTAACACTGTTGTATTATTTCAGTCGGCCTGCCACGTCTTTCAGTTGGTTCTCATCACCGTGGAAGTCCATGAGATACATTCTCTGGGCTAACTACAAGTGGTATATAATTGGAGGGCTGCTTATTCTTCTTGTAATAGCTTTCGTTTTGATATTCTTGTACAGCCTACCGGTAAGTTGACATTCAATACTAATAGTAAACGGGGGGTTTTCTATTCAATAATATTCATTTTTACGGCAACTGTACTCGTATATATTCACTTTTTTGATATTCTTGTACAGCCTACCGGTAAGTTGACATTCAATACTAATAGTAAACAGGGGGTTTTCTATTCAATAATATTCACTTTTACGGCAACTGTACTCGTATGAAGAGAATTTCCAACTCAATAGCAATTATTTCAATATTTAAGTCTAGTCTTCATCCGACATCCACTTACCAGCTTTATTTCGAAGAGCCCATTTAATGAACAGATTTTGTTTTCAGGGAGGCGTTGCAGACATGTTGATGGCTAAATTTTGAACCTCTTAGAAATAAAAAGTAATATAAATCAGCTGAAATGGAGTGATCAAGGGCAAGTGCTGCATTCACAGAAACTTGAAGACGAACCGAGATTGCCATCCAACATTATAACAGTGTTTTGAAGTTAAAGAAAGTTTTAGTGGGACTAATTTTGCCGTGATGCTGTTGAATCTTATGAAATTTTTGAAAATTGACCCATATAAATATGTAGACTAACTTATTTGTGAGTTCACGAACAACTATTTGTAAATTATGGTGAAAATGAATTTCATAAAAAATTATAGTCTCGGATTATTGATTGTTGAATATTTGGTATTATTTGAATTTCACAAAATAGTGTATTTACATAGTATCATACAAAACCTAAAGCTATTGTGAAGCCTAATTAATATATAAATAATCACTAAATAGAACACTAAATCTGTGTCGTTCTGTTCAGTTAAAACGAACAGGGGCGGCAATATCTAATAGTTTAATCGTCCAATAAACGATATCAAGAATTTGTGGAAATATAAACTTTATAAAGTGAAAGCCACGAAAAACTACCGAGTATTTCAATAAAAAACAATTAAATATTCTGGTCTCCATTTGAGGAGTTCATCGTGCAATGTGTATAATTCAGCTAGCGTCCGAGTTATTGTCTCATAATATGCACCTGTACTGACAGGCGAACATGACCCAGCAAGCCACTACATTCTCAGGATATGGGTAGATTCGTATCTTGATCGCCAGCTCCAGTTCGTCGCCGTGACTGGTTATCAAGTCTGAACAAACTTCCGACCTGCGAGGTTTCGGCAGTCAAATCGATGTTTTGAATACATTGAAAATTAATTGGGCAATAAAACGCGTCGTGCGCGGCTCAATCCATGATATTAAACTGTGCGCCGTACAAAACAGTCATAATCTGTAACCGACATTTTCGAATGAGAATAGAGTTCAAATGTAGCAAATTCGACACGATTTGTAAAAACCAAGGTGCTTGCTATACAGATATTACATACCTCATGCATTCCCTGAATATCTGCCTAATATTGAGGTGGTTAAACTGAGCTGGATATCCCTTGAAAGTGAAGCCTGTGGGAACAGCGTATCTCACTGCATGTTGGAATTCTTCATTACTGACTGTGACACCTGCAAAATGGTGAATATTTGGAATACATTTGATGGTAAGTAAAGAATGTATAATCGATGATTAGAAAAGTCATCAATAATTACCTGCAGCACGCTCAATCTCATAGGCGCTGATAGCAGGCAGAAGTAAATGGCACAAATTATCATTCCAATGTGTGCTCAGATCATGCTGTTCACGCTCGTCTCTTATCAATCTGAGATCATGTATAATCTGAGATTATTTATAAGAGTTAATTAGACACCCCGTCTATTTAGGGGTTAATCTAGATTTAATTAAGATTAGTAGTACATTATTATTCAGAAGCAGAAACTGTACTTCTAAGAGCTTGACGCAGTGTAGGTAATATTATATTACAGAGTATCTAATGCGGAAAAGCCGGAAGTGGTTACAAAATAAAGATAGCACAGAGTCAAGGGTGCTCACGTGACATGAATATAAGAAGCTAACCCCTCTTACCTCCTAAGTTGATGTTCTAGATTAGCAGCAGTGTGGTAAGGATCAATTAGGTTGGGATTTAATACGATCTGCATGTTACTGGTATCCTTGCTGGCCCTCATGGATTGGATGGCATCCTCACTCACTGCTTTCCAGAGTACTGGCTCTCCTAACTGAAACCTAGGGACAAGGTTCTGGATAAATAATTGGAAATTTGCTGTCTGTCCGGTCTCTCCTGTTCATATTACAGTCAACTTCGACCAAAAATTGCAAAGTAACATTTTGACCTAATACAATTTACTCAGTAATACAAAACCACTGATAAAGTGGTAATATTGACGGAAGTTTAATCTTGTTAGGATATAATCTAGTTTTCATTAGTTTCCCATCAGTGGCATCCATTGTATCAGACTTTGTAATTTCGGGTTCAATATACAAGTTCAAAACAAAATAATTACTTGATTTTAGAGATTGAGTTGGAAGGCTGAGTGTTAGCGTAGAATGACTTGTCATTGAACACACAGTCAATAGTCTTGTAGGGAAGTGTATCTCCGGTAACGTATCTGAAACATTACAAATTCTACTACACATACTTCAGGATGTAATGTTGATAGAAAGTACGTTTCGCAACGAAATGGTAACTTGATAAAGAAGTCCAATTAGAAAAATGGCCCCACTGAATAACAGGATGGCCTCACTAAAAACAGGTTGAGATATTTGATACCAAATAATTACAAATGTCTAAAACCTGTACCTCTGACCGGTGATAGCGTCCCAGAATGTAGGAACCCCAGTCTCGCCCAGCGTCATGACCCAGACATGTGAGGTACCTTTAATTCTGCTGCCTATACACACGTAACTATCAAGTGAGAAGCCTAGGAGGAGGGAGCAGAGGAGGAGACAGTGAGATTCCACGTCCTGTAGGGAGGCGACCAGTGGTTAGTATTGAGGCGACCAGTGGTTAGTAGGGAGGCGACCAGTGGTTAGTATTGAGGCGACCAGTGGTTAGTATTGAGGCGACCAGTGGTTAGTATTGAGGCGACCAGTGGTTAGTATTGAGGCGACCAGTGGTTAGTAGGGAGGCGACCAGTGGTTAGTTGGGAGGCGACCAGTGGTTAGTATTGAGGCGACCAGTGGTTAGTATTGAGGCGGGATGTTATTTCCATTTCAGTGACATTATTTCCATCCTACTTCTGGATGTTCGGTTTGTGATCTATCATGATATAATTATGTAATTTGTGGTATGTACGACGAATTTTGATGAACCCACTAATACCTACAGTTTCAATATTTTTTCCCCATATTTAGATAGTCTATACTCTTCTCAGATCATACTTCTGTAAAACAGTAGCGTGCTTTACCGAATTATCTCAATATAATAAACGAAAAGCTTCTATTGTCGGAAAACAATGTTTTCCGATGACGTTGAGAGGCAGGCAATTACCATGGAGCAAATCAAAATTCGTGAGTGAGTCATGGCCATATAATTTCAATCCTTTGTCATTATTGTAGAAGAGAAATCACGAACATGATTCGTCGATTAATTCTTCCATGTCGATTTTACTTTCGTTAAGACACGGTTTTAGGACAAAAAATAAACTTTTTGAGATAAAATTAATTATTGTAAAATCAGGCATATTATAGAGTAAAAACGTAAGTTCAAAGAATTAAAAGCAAAAAAACTTTAAAGTGTAACTGTTGTATTTTCAATAACTGCAAAGTTATCGTACGTTATGATTGATGTACATTGTACACACTGCAGATATAAATGTTTATCTACAAAGCAATCGCCCATCTTAACGCTGTCACATCCTGGACACGAAAAATTCGAAAAAGTGGGAGTACAGATTCCAAAGTGTGTGAAAATTACGAATGAAAGAAACAACAAGGCAGGCCAAAATAGTGACAATTTGAAGAAGGGATATTTGATAATGTCTCTAAATGTCTCCTCAATAATACGTACATATGACAATATGATATGTGCCAGGTTAGTGCAGCACGTGTGTGGCACGTGTGTGTACCACGTGTACCACTCTCTCTTTCCAACAACACATTATTTTAAATAACTCATCTCCTGGGTTTTCTCATGGTACGAGTCTCTCCACCCTCTGTATCCTCATTATTCCCGTCAATCATTATCATCGTACAACTATTGTCACTCTCGCTAAACTCAATTCCCTTTCGTCGACACAGAAACTGAGCGAAATGGTTATCGTTTGTTCTCCCAGTGTCAATTTTCTTGAGTTGTCTTTTCTTGCATGGTTTGGTGATGAGGTTGAAGACAATGTAAGGAATGCAGAATGGAAACAAGAAAGGCATGCCATGACCCTCAACATTAGTCACAGCATTGTACTCCATGATGGACTCAAACTGAGCGAATCTCCAGTCAGCAAACTTCCCCTTGTTGACCTTGGAATACGCATCACACATGATTGCAATGAGCAAGTTCATGCACATGATACAGAGGAGGATTTCGTAAAGCACCAGGAGGAAGCCCATGAAGAGTGTCATGGCTCCGTCCAGAGAGTTGTAGAGGCTCGTCTTATGGCCATAAGCCATACCGTCAAACAAGGCCCATATCAGGGATAGTACTGTTTTGCTGACTGAGTCAAATGAATGAAAATCATTTGCGTCATCATCTCCATCAATACTATAAACTTGCCTGTAACAGGAAGCCAGGCTTAGCATGGGTACTATGAACCCTACTAAAAAGAAACCAAACAGAAAGATGACCCTTGATATCTCTGAAAACATGTGTCTAATGGCTCGGATCATGGGGCCTAGTCCCGGGACATGTATAGTGCAGACTTCAAGTAGATGAACCATAGCCATTACGGCAGCAGTACTGTAAAAGTAGATAGTGAATACCAACCTGCGTGCCACCATGGTGTTGTCATGGATACTATGATAAACACCATACACTCTGGAGTCAATGTAGACATGTAGTTTGCAAATCATCCCAGTTATCAGCACTAACAACAAAACAACATCATTCAGATTAGAGAAACTGTTGAGGTATTTCTTAAACTTGACTATCATATTTGATCCCTTTTTGTGGAATACTTGGAACCACTCTGTCAGGACCCTGGCAAGGATGCAAACCCACAAGCACCACTCGAAGAAGGGTATAGTCGGGGCAGGGAGCCTCACTAAGATAACGCCATCATCTCCAACTTTAAAATGAGGATTGTTGTCTGCTGTGATCATACCCACCTGAAGCTGTTGGATCATAAGATTTACTGGCCTCGGATCAGGAGCAGTAGTCAAGGTTACAGCCAGCAAGAGAGCGACCAGGACACTGTAGTTCAACAAATCCGCTAGATAGTAGGTGAAGGGAGAGAAGAAGTCAATGTCTACCCTCCATTTTTGGCGCTTCACCCTGTTGGAGTATCGTGATAGGAGTGCCAAAGGCAGGTAGAAGAAGTTCCAGAAAAAGAAGTTGATCATTCTTTTTAGAGCGTAAATTATTTTGCCTTTGCCTGTGCTTTCTTCTGTTGATGCTTTTCCCCAGAAATTCTGCCAAACGACCTTCTGGTACATTTTAGCAGCAACAAGTTGTTTGTTTCCTGACTTCAGCTTATCGAGAAACATAGTTTCATCGTCCAGTCTCATGAGCTTAGTTACCTCGAGCGGTGTAATGCATCCTCTTATCAGAGTCATAGCAAAGTCTCTGGGAATTTGTTCCAGTTCCTCGATCATCCTATCATAGAGAGAGTTTCTGCCATTTTCTTTCTTCGCATACTTCTGAAGATGATGCTGCAGTTTCAGGGCAGTTCTCATGGGGTCACGACGCTCTTTCAGGGCTTTCACAGAGATTAATTTAGCGAGTACAAGTATAGGCGAGTAGATCTCATGCCTGTCTTCTCCGTAAGGGGCGCTATTGACGATTATCTCGAGCAAGCCTACAAGGTACCCAATGTAGTGATCATCTTCAGCGAAGGTTTGTGTGTGTAGAGTGCATTTACTCATCCAACCTATTGGATCTAGTAAAAATTCTAATCTCGTTCCTTCCTCGTCGTGGAAGGTCATTGACTTGCACTGGGAACTCGTTAGAAGTGCCTTAAGAGTAAAATGATCAGCTTCAGCTTTTTCGGCAAATTTAATTACCGCATTACTGAAAAGATGGTCGTCTTCCTCGAACTCCGCTAATTTGTGAGATTTTAGCTGAATACTGGATTTCTTTTTTAATATGTGATTGTTAGAAATCATCCCTCACAGATCGTTCACGTGACTTTCTGTCTAAGTCAAGGATTGAAGGATAGGATTATATCGCACTGACGTTCACATCTACCTGATATGTAGCGAGAAATTATATGATGTCGAACAAAATGCTGTACTTTTCCAATACTATCATAATTTATATTCGAGTACCTATTTAAGCTATATATTATGTTCGATGCAGTCTCTATCGAATGCCGAAAGGCTCTCCATCTAACATACCTACAGTAAACAAATTGAACTCCATTTAACATTAAACAAAAGGAATGCAGAAGAATACTTCGGGAAAAGGCCACTCAACTATGAAAAATCTAGATACAATCAAAAGCGGTATTATATATATAATATATATAATATATCTTTTGTCTTCAAGAATTATGATCTAGTAAGAGTTGAGACTAATAATTATATATGATAAAGCCCAGAAGTAACTACCCACACGCAACCCTTTAATAACTCACGTAATTCGCATCAGAATTGTTAAAAATTTCAGAGAATATAGATATGGGTTAAACTTAGATTTCCTGAAAATTTCGTAAAATTTCATCTATTACAGAGGGCAGCAGTGTCACGCCACTCCCTCTTTTTCGCTATTGTCACCATAAAATGAGAACTTTTTGAGTTTTAAACTCCAAAATTTTGAGTTAGAAACAATCAAAAGCAGTATATAGAAATAATTTCCATCTTTTGTCTTCAAGAATTATGGTCTAGTTTAAGAGTCGAGACTAATAATTATATATGATAAAGCTCGAGAGTTCAAAGACCACCCGCCAACGTTGGCCTAGTTCAGACAAAAAGGGTGTTAGCTTAAGCAAATTGTCAGCTTACGGCTCTATTAATCTAACAATAGCAGTTAATTGAGTGAGATACTTTTTTCAAACTACCTGTTGTCTTCTGATCAAACTCGATTAAGGATAATGGAGCTGGAGTAGAATAGAAACACAGCAACACATAATTGAAACCTAATAAGCTAATATATAATAATAATGATCCACTTATGCTGTGCAGGATAAAAGAAACCTAAATTGATTATGTTAACACTTCTACGGCCTAAACTATTGATTCTATAACTTGTAGACCTACCAATTTGAACTCGGGTGGTCATCCAGACAAAAAAAGAGAAACCTTCGAATTATATTATATGGCTATTGTAGAGATACAGAGGTGAAACAGTCCTCGTGGTCAGGCAGGAGCCTTCTATTTTTACGCGAGACATAATATGTGTAATTATGTTGATACATGTAGTGCAGGGACTGTCGCAGGGTCGATGTCATATGCATGAACATCCCATTGAAAACTTTTCATTGTTCGAAATCTGACTGAGAGGCCCGTAAAGCTAATTTAACAGTAATATGATCTCAGCACTATATTATAGCTCCAGAACCTTGCGCCAATTAAAATAAAATTAGCCTTACTATACTGGAGTAAGACGCAACGATGAATGAATTTTAAACCCCAATCCTTATCGTACTGAAAGGTGCAGTGTATTCTTAAATTGAGACTCAAGTTTTTCAGCTTAAATATCCGACACTACAATATTATAATAAACGTATGAAGCAGATCCATATATACTCAAGCGCTTGCTTGCACGAGATATTCATAAAAACCTGTTTTGTCAGGGACCAGCAGAATGTTCTTTCAAAAATCAAAATTTTTTGTAATTGACTGAGATTTTCGTTTAAGCTCTTGGATAGAACTTT